CCCCCCCCCCCCGGCCTGATAAGCTCTTCCAGACTATCAGCTGCCTGGCCCTCCTCTGTCCCTTCTAGCTCCTCCATTAACTGGGAGAAGAGGTGCATTCAACCCCCTGAGGAGGCGACCCTGGAGAGGGATGGTAGGGAGACAGGCATTAAGGGGCATGGGAGAAGGGTGGTTAGAGGGGAGGTTGAGGGGAGTACTGATCAAAGGTAGGAGGATGGTAGAGAGGGGTACTGATTTTAGATGGGGTGGTAGAGGGGGGTACTGATCAGAGATGAGGTGGAGAATGGGAGAGGGGGAACTGATCAGAGAGGTGGGGGGGTGGGATAGAGAGATACTCTATAGAGTGAGACGTCCACAGGGTAGGGGGTGCAATACTTGCCTTGCCCCCGGGTGCTGACAACCCACACTATGCCACTGTTTCCTTAGTCTCCCCTCCCCCAGTCGGCTGCAGTTAGGAGAAAGCATTTCCTCAGTCTCCCCTCCCCCAGTGATCAGGCTGTACATTGTAACTTTGTAGCAAGTCATAAAGTGAGAGGCTGCAGCAGGGTCTGATCTGTGTCAGACATTCATGTATTGGCACCAGAATTTACATGATTGTATCATCTCTAAGTCAGCATCTCAGTCCAGGAAGCAGCTGGGTGACCCTGGAGGATGCCTGAACAAAGATGGTCTCATTCTTCTGGAGAGAAAAACAGATGAAGGCATTGTCAGGGGGAGTCCTGTGATCTCTTGAGAGAGGGAATACATACCTGGAAGTGTTACACTGACACATTACTGTGTGTGTGTGTGTGTGTGTGTGTGTGTGTGTGTGTATGTCTGTCTGTATCTCTGTGTGTGTGTGTGTGTGTGTGAGTGTGTGTGTGTATGTCTGTATTTGTATGTGTGTGTGTGTGTATGTCTGTATTTGTATGTTTGTGTCTTTGTGTGTGTCTTTGTGTGGGTGTGTGTCTTTGTGTGTGGGTGTGTGTGTGTGTGTGTATACAGTACATGTATGTATGTGTGTGTGTCTTTGTGTGGGTGTGTGTCTTTGTGTGGGTGTGTGTGTGTGTCTTTGTGTGGGTGTGTGTGTGTGTCTTTGTGTGTACAGTACATGTATGTATGTGTGTGTGTGTGTATATCTATCTATCTCTGATGATAGGTCCAGAGCCCTCCTGGTCCATAGATGCTGATTCTCCGCACTGTGCGGCGTGAGTGATGATCTAAAAGCAGTTTTCTAGTTTTCATTTGTTATTTTCCTCGAGTTCAGCGCCCCGTAACCATTTGTTGTATCCGGAGTCGTGTGATAGGGACTGGGAACAGTGACACGCATACATGTAAACACGTCTATGACAGAAGAAGCGGCACTCCAGTTGTGCCCTGTGAATATTTCATGGCTTCCATACATTGAATGGATGAGTTGGGCGGTGCCGGCTCGTTGCTGGTTACAGGTGTCAGAGGGATGAGGAGACTCAATCCCGGCTCTCATATTACTTCACACGGAGACTTTTTATTATTCTGGAGATGAGCAAAAGAGGATCAGGACACAAAGGAGACTCTCAATATGGCAACACGTATCCTCCCCGCCATCCTGCTGCTGAATATCGGTAGGTGAAATATCTTCTGTTTGTTTCTAAAGCTTTTATTTCCAATATAATTCCTTCCTCAGCCAATACATTGTATTTCATGTTTCTCTGCATCTCCATACTGCCATAGAAGCTGAGATCCTGGGAACCTGCAGCATCCATGGTCAGTTAGCTGCCATGTCAGGCCAATGAGGTCTGGTCGTAGCGTTATGGAAATGATCTCCATACTACGATAGAAGATGAGATCCTGGGAACCTGCAGCATCCATGGTTAGTACTATGTGGGACCTGTTTCGGCAGGTCCCCAAAGGATCGGGGTCCGTCTGCCTTCGGGTAGGTGGACCATAGTATCTCAACCCCTGTCAGGAGCCTTGCGCCCCAGGGGGTCGGGAATTCGAGTCCCTTAATTGAAGGACCAAGCACCCTTGTGCACGTTTTTGTGTGCTGTGATTTCACGGTTCACTTTTTTTTGTTCACAGGGGGAAGTTTGTTTTTCTATGCACGTTCCACGGGCTCTTAAAAATAAAAATCCATGGTCAGTAAGCTGCCATGTCAGGCCAATGAGGTCTGGCCGTAGTGTTATGGAAATGATCTCCATACTGCCAAAGAAGCTGAGATCCTGGGAACCTGAACCTTCCATAGTCAGTTAGCTGCCATGTCAGGCCAATGAGGTCTGGTCGTAGCGTTATGGAAATGATCTCCATGCTGCATCAACATTATTCTTTATAAATTCACTTCTGAACATTTCCTGATATCGTCCTGGATGTTACTGAAACATCTTTTATATAAACCAGCTATTATAATCTACACTCTGTACTGCAACCCCATCTTTTCATCTACAACCCCTATAAACCCACGATGTCCAACCCGCGTCCTTAGAGGCTTTTCACACGACAGTCCATGTTTTCCTTACCTCGGAGCTCACTCAGACCAGAGAAGTCCATTATTCTTTTCAATGGAATTCAGAAGGTTCCATTGTTTTTCACGTTTTCTGTTCTTTCTCCATCCCTTATTTTTTCCTCTATGATCTCTTATAATAGATCTTGCTGAGGCAAATATAAAGTGTGACACAAGTCATTTTAGAGGGGGTGCACAGAGCACAAATGTGGGGGCATGGGTTTGCAAAGGAGCTGTAATAGCCATAATCTCTCATACATGATGTGTCTCTGGTCTATGATGACAACTCCAGGGCACTTTCAACAAAAAGATGGAACCATCTTAGTCCAGTTGAACAGCAAGCTGGTGGAAGAGAGACATGGTTGCCACCCACTAGGGATATCCAGATACCAGTTTAGATACCAGTGCAGATACTTGGCATTTTCATGAGAACTCCCAGGGTGGCAGCAGTTGCAGCTGGGACCGGGCTCTGGCACTCCACCACTGTCCTGAAATCATTAGTCTGTATTTTTTTAGAAATACTGTCACATGACAATGAACAAAAATTTATCAGTACTCGTATCTGTGAGGACTTGGGCAAGTATCAGTACTTGTGTCTGTGAGGACTTGGACCAGTATCAGTACTTCTATCTGTGAGGACTTGGGCGAGTATCAGTACTTGTACTTGTAAAACTGGTATCTGTGCATCCCTTTATTTATATTTATAAAAAGAAAATCATACATGATAACAGAGATGTACAAATCCCGGGAGCTCCGTGTGCTCCTTACACATGACAGCTGCCTCCTAACTTTTGAATTTTCCCTAATCCAGTACAGGTATCTGTACTTGTACCTGTATAGAGTACTTGGTATCTGAACATCCCTACCACCCACCAATCAGGAGGGACGCTGGCTGTGACCAGCAGCAAGAGTGTGAACATCCCCCTGCTCATTGTGTGCCATTCAGGCTCTGCCCCTCCTGTAGTCCTGTGTCCCTGTAGGGGTGGGTCAGCATTGCATGACCTCTTCCACCACTTTGTTGTTCAACCAGACTAAGATTGTTGCACTGCTTTGATTGACACAACTTGTAATGCTGACCTACAGGGGACGTTCCAGATGCCATGATGGACTCTCTTTATTTTAAATACATTCATTTTAAAATGTGTAAAGAAATGTTCTAGTTTTTAATCTTATTCTCTGCAATATGAAATTAATTAATGAGGGCGACCCACAAAAAAATTTGGGATATTCTGGTCTGTGATGGTATTCTGAAGCATGACCCCAGTGTCCAACATCTCCTACACATTCTCAGTCTATGACTGTTAGTAAGCCGAACACATTGGCTTGCACATTCACTCTGCCAGAAATCTGGATTTGGTGAACATCCAAGTGAGCCAAACCCAGAGCCATCTGTGTCCTAGCTCCCAATGGCACCGTGCAGTCTGTAAGTTGGCCACCATTGCTATAGAAGTACAAGTAATGGCAGCAGGATAGGTGAATATTTACAGGTAAAGCTTGATTTGAAATAATATTACATCCCAGGCACTCTATAGAAACACAAACTCCAATTCCAGGTTTGTTGTTTTTTTTGAGAGTTTTGACTTGGGGAGGGTTATAACTCCTATCAGGTATTTAATACTGTTGATGACTCCACTGGGGAGATGTCCTCTCTGACACCAGGACAGGAAATGAAGTGGAGGGGGATCACCAGGACAGGAACCTACATACAGCTTCCTAGTATTAATGAGGGAATTGATTTGTTTGAACACAGTTTCTGGGTTCACTGACCCTGACAACACCCTAAGGGTGCCCACACACCTTACGATAATCGTGGGAAATCGCGCGATCGTACGATTATTGTAAGGTGTGTGGAAGCCGTTCGACCTCTACTACAGTAAGGTCGCACGACTTTTAACTTACGAACATGTTCGAAAACCCGCCGAGCATCGTACGATGTTCGGCGGGTGTGTAGCATGTTCGTAAGATAAAAGCCGGAAAGGGCCGGTGTGCGCAAGCGCACACTGGCCGTTCGGCATGGCGGTCATCGGAAACACGCCCCTCAGGGGGCGTGGCTTGCGATCATCGCAAGTAAGATCTGCCTGTCCAAGATAGGCAGATTGTACGTTTTCTTAATTACCTTACAACCATCGCAAGACAAAAGTCTTGCGATGGTTGTAAGGTGTGTGCCCAGCATTACCCTGGACTGCTATACTGACCTCCCTGGGGGGATGTCAACTCCAAGCACACACAGCTGCACCAAAATCTCATCACCGAAAAGCTGGATCCAATTTCACTTCCTATGTAATTGTTCCTAGTCAACTAGGTTGTTAAGGGATCCTCATGACCAGGGCCCTATAATGAGGCGGCACCTCTTAAGGACATGAAGGGGGCAGCAGGCAGAGTATCATGGCTGCTCTGCTGCAGAATGTTTCCAGTGTGCCTGTGGCCCCCACCTCTCCACCTAGAGGAATCCCAGGTTGCTAAGAGCTGGGTGGGGAGAGGTGTAAGGGCCATACACTGTCACTGGGATGTCACTGGTTGCCAGGAGCTAGGTGGGACACTGGCCAAAGCGGTGGTGTCACTCTTGCACCACCAAACCCCGCCCCCCCTATCCCTGCAGCAGATGCCCCTGATTATGACTGCCAAGCAATGACCATTATCAGAAGGAGAATAATAGCAGCTAACGGATTTGTATGATATCAGTGTTTTGTTGTAATTTGTAGTATAGAAGGAAGCTACACATGTTCTTCTCTTCTAGTTTCCTCCTCCAACCTCTCACCCTGCGGCGTGCCCGGACCTTCCAGCCGGATAGTTGGGGGTTCAGACTCCACGGATGGTGAGTGGCCCTGGCAGATCAGTCTGCAGTACCTGGGCTCCCATATATGCGGGGGGTCCCTGTTATCCCCGCAGTGGGTGCTGAGTGCCGCACATTGCTTTGAACGGTGAGTGTAACCATTTACTTCCTGTATGTCTGTGGTGCCGTACGGCAATCAGACAATTTTGGCAAATTTGATTAACACATTTTGATACAAAGGGCTGCTGGTTTTTCCAAGTCACAAAAGGAGAATCCCAAAATAAACTCTTCCTGTTTAAGGGCCAGTTCACACCATCTTCAGTGCGTTCCGGCCCCGATTGTGGCCCGAACGCACTGGGTCGCATTCAGGCCGCCTCACTTTGTTTTGGGGGCGTGGCGGTCCATTGAACCCAAACCTGGACCGAAACGCAGGCATTGATGTGACGCACGTTCCCGTGTGGCCGATCGCATTGCAGTTGGAGGGCGTGGCTGCGGGGCCATTCACTTCAATGCACCGTCACGCCCCCTCCCGCCCCACAACAAAGTGAGCCGGCTGAGGAAGCTCAGACTGGGGGATGGAGAAGCAGCAGAAGGAGGTCAGACTGGGGGATGGAGAAGCAGCAGAGGAAGCTCAGACTGGAGCATGGAGAAGCAGCAGAGGGAGCTCAGACTGGGGGATGGAGAAGCAGCAGAGGGAGCTCAGACTGGGGGATGGAGAAGCAGCAGAGGGAGCTCAGACTGGGGGATGGAGAAGCAGCAGAGGGAGCTGCAGTAAAACAAAGCAAGCACATTATTACATATGTTTTCATCAAAGTTGAATACCACCTACAGACATTGTCATATGTATAAGTAAACATCTTCTCTATTCTGACCAGGAGTAACAGTCCTCAGGACTACGGGGTTCACCTGGGAGTGTACCAGCTGCTGTCATTGTCATCCCCACATGAGCTTCTGTCCGATGTAGAAACATTGATAACTCATCCCCAATACACGTCTGTGGGGGGCCCAGGGGACATCGCCCTGCTGAAGATGACCAGCGCTGTCAGTTATACCAATTATATCATGCCGGCCTGTCTGCCAACCTCCTCTGCCTCCTTCCCCTGTGGCATGGAATGCTGGGTCACCGGATGGGGTGCCGCGTCTTCTGGAGGTAAGTGATCTCCTATTTTTATAAAGTCCAATCGTTTATTCCTCCGCCACTTGCATGACATACTCTGCTCTGCTGGAGGACTCTGCTCCTTCCTCTATCCAACTCTCCTGGAATACTCTGCTCTGCTGGAGAACTCTGCTCCTTCCTCTATAACTCTCCTCTCCTGAAATACTCTGCTCTGCTGGAGGACTCTGCTCCTTCCTCTATCCAACTCTCCTGGAATACTCTGCTCTGCTGGAGAACTCTGCTCCTTCCTCTATAACTCTCCTCTCCTGAAATACTCTGCTCTGCTGGAGGACTCTGCTCCTTCCTCTATCCAACTCTCCTGGAATACTCTGCTCTGCTGGAGAACTCTGCTCCTTCCTCTATAACTCTCCTCTCCTGAAATACTCTGCTCTGCTGGAGGACTCTGCTCCTTCCTCTATCCAACTCTCCTGGAATACTCTGCTCTGCTGGAGAACTCTGCTCCTTCCTCTATAACTCTCCTCTCCTGAAATACTCTGCTCTGCTGGAGGACTCTGCTCCTTCCTCTATCCAACTCTCCTGGAATACTCTGCTCTGCTGGAGAACTCTGCTCCTTCCTCTATAACTCTCCTCTCCTGAAATACTCTGCTCTGCTGGAGGACTCTGCTCCTTCCTCTATCCAACTCTCCTGGAATACTCTGCTCTGCTGGAGAACTCTGCTCCTTCCTCTATAACTCTCCTCTCCTGAAATACTCTGCTCTGCTGGAGGACTCTGCTCCTTCCTCTATCCAACTCTCCTGGAATACTCTGCTCTGCTGGAGAACTCTGCTCCTTCCTCTATAACTCTCCTCTCCTGAAATACTCTGCTCTGCTGGAGGACTCTGCTCCTTCCTCTATCCAACTCTCCTGGAATACTCTGCTCTGCTGGAGAACTCTGCTCCTTCCTCTATAACTCTCCTCTCCTGAAATACTCTGCTCTGCTGGAGGACTCTGCTCCTTCCTCTATCCAACTCTCCTGGAATACTCTGCTCTGCTGGAGAACTCTGCTCCTTCCTCTATAACTCTCCTCTCCTGAAATACTCTGCTCTGCTGGAGGACTCTGCTCCTTCCTCTATCCAACTCTCCTGGAATACTCTGCTCTGCTGGAGAACTCTGCTCCTTCCTCTATAACTCTCCTCTCCTGAAATACTCTGCTCTGCTGGAGGACTCTGCTCCTTCCTCTATCCAACTCTCCTGGAATACTCTGCTCTGCTGGAGAACTCTGCTCCTTCCTCTATAACTCTCCTCTCCTGAAATACTCTGCTCTGCTGGAGGACTCTGCTCCTTCCTCTATCCAACTCTCCTGGAATACTCTGCTCTGCTGGAGAACTCTGCTCCTTCCTCTATAACTCTCCTCTCCTGAAATACTCTGCTCTGCTGGAGGACTCTGCTCCTTCCTCTATCCAACTCTCCTGGAATACTCTGCTCTGCTGGAGAACTCTGCTCCTTCCTCTATAACTCTCCTCTCCTGAAATACTCTGCTCTGCTGGAGGACTCTGCTCCTTCCTCTATCCAACTCTCCTGGAATACTCTGCTCTGCTGGAGAACTCTGCTCCTTCCTCTATAACTCTCCTCTCCTGAAATACTCTGCTCTGCTGGAGGACTCTGCTCCTTCCTCTATCCAACTCTCCTGGAATACTCTGCTCTGCTGGAGAACTCTGCTCCTTCCTCTATAACTCTCCTCTCCTGAAATACTCTGCTCTGCTGGAGGACTCTGCTCCTTCCTCTATCCAACTCTCCTGGAATACTCTGCTCTGCTGGAGAACTCTGCTCCTTCCTCTATAACTCTCCTCTCCTGAAATACTCTGCTCTGCTGGAGGACTCTGCTCCTTCCTCTATCCAACTCTCCTGGAATACTCTGCTCTGCTGGAGAACTCTGCTCCTTCCTCTATAACTCTCCTCTCCTGAAATACTCTGCTCTGCTGGAGGACTCTGCTCCTTCCTCTATCCAACTCTCCTGGAATACTCTGCTCTGCTGGAGAACTCTGCTCCTTCCTCTATAACTCTCCTCTCCTGAAATACTCTGCTCTGCTGGAGGACTCTGCTCCTTCCTCTATCCAACTCTCCTGGAATACTCTGCTCTGCTGGAGAACTCTGCTCCTTCCTCTATAACTCTCCTCTCCTGAAATACTCTGCTCTGCTGGAGGACTCTGCTCCTTCCTCTATCCAACTCTCCTGGAATACTCTGCTCTGCTGGAGAACTCTGCTCCTTCCTCTATAACTCTCCTCTCCTGAAATACTCTGCTCTGCTGGAGGACTCTGCTCCTTCCTCTATCCAACTCTCCTGGAATACTCTGCTCTGCTGGAGAACTCTGCTCCTTCCTCTATAACTCTCCTCTCCTGAAATACTCTGCTCTGCTGGAGGACTCTGCTCCTTCCTCTATCCAACTCTCCTGGAATACTCTGCTCTGCTGGAGAACTCTGCTCCTTCCTCTATAACTCTCCTCTCCTGAAATACTCTGCTCTGCTGGAGGACTCTGCTCCTTCCTCTATAACTCTCCTCTCCTGATATACTCTGCTCTGCTGGAGAACCTTAATCTATCAAATAAGTTTACTTTGTGAGGTTCATTCTGATTTTTTTCCCCGTAAACTTTATTGATGATTTACATTTTGGACAGTATTGCAATGTTGAATTATCTTGACTCCATCAGTCTTCATTTCCACACAGTCAGCCTCCAGTATCCAGGAACTCTGCAGAAGGTGATGACGCCACTTATTGACCACGTGACCTGTGATCAGATGTACCATGTGGGATCCACTGAAAGTACCAACACCGTTATCATTCATGATGATAACATCTGCTCTGGGTACCCCCAGGGGAAGAAAGATTCCTGCCAGGTGGGTCAAAACACTTGAGATTTTGGACTGTTTTCCGCATCATTTAAGGGAAATTGTTTTGCTCTGATCAGTTGCTTACAGCACATGCCAATCGTATCCCTGACTACTCTTTACAGCACATGTGTGTCTCAGCCCTGACCAACTGTCCACAGTACTGTATATGTGATCCTCAGCCTTCACCAACTCTTCATAGCACCTGAGAGTCTTACTCATAACCAACTCTTTACAGCATGTGTGAGTCCCAGCCCTGACCAGCTCTTCACAGCAGATGCAAGTCTCATCCTTCACCAACTCTTCACAGTACATGTGATCCTCAGCCCTGACCAACTGTTCATAGTATATGTGATCCTCAGCCCTGACCAACTCTTCACAGTACATGTGATCCTCAGCCCTGACCAACTGTTCATAGTATATGTGATCCTCAGCCCTGACCAACTCTTCACAGTACATGTGATCCTCAGCCCTGACCAACTGTTCATAGTATATGTGATCCTCAGCCCTGACCAACTCTTCACAGTACATGTGATCCTCAGCCCTCGCCAACTCTTCATAGCACCCGAGAGTCTTACCCATAACCAACTCTTTACAGCATATGTGAGTCTCAGCCCTGACCAGCTCTTCACAGCAGATGCAAGTCTCATCCCTGACAACACTTCACAGCACACATACTATACTGTATGTTTCAGCCTCAGCCAACTCTTCACAGTGCATGTGATTCTCAGCATATTTGAGTCTTAGCCCTGACCATCTTCTCACAGCACATGTGACTCTCAGTTCTTCTTCACGTGTGGTATAACATGTGAAATCATAACATCTGCTTTTGCTGCTGAAGTCCACCAGCACTGAGCATAGCAGGAAAGTACACCTCTCAGATCCGGCTTCTTGAGTTTTTTTGCACGGTAGTGCTGAGTCTGACAAGTCCCCAAAACAATGTTTCATCGGGCGGTGTGCACATCGCCACATACACTCCAAACCCCTGTGCAATCTTATTGTCCCCACTGCACGCTATTACCTGTGGCCGTATTGCTTCACACTCTCCACGCCTCTGTGGTGAAGCTCCCTCTTTACTAGCTATGTAACCACTGCAGACATTGTTCTCTCAGCCATGTCCTCATTGTTACACACTTGTTGTACTCATACGCAACAGCTCTTCACACCGTTTGAAGGAGCCTCTCGCACAGGTCTTACACCACTATCCACACTATGGGGATGATTTATAAACCTTCCACCCAGCTACATACTGCTTGCACAGCACTAGTGCCACTAGATGGCACTGAGGAGCCTAGGACCTTCCTATGCTTCTTGGCCCCATCTAGTGGCAGTAATGCCATGTGCGTGGCATTCACCCAGCTACACATTGGGCGAAACATTTATAAATCAGACCCTACGGTATGTCTTCTGGCCCTGTCTGCAGTAGCTCTTCTTGCACAGCTGCCCCCAATGTTTGCTCTGGTTATGCTTTAATTTGACTTGACTTTTTGGTCTGATTGGCTATAATCACTTAAATTCCAGGGAGACTCCGGCGGGCCCCTGGTGTGTAATATTCATAGTGTCTGGTACCAGGTTGGCATTGTGAGCTGGGGTGAGGACTGCGCCCTACCGTATCGCCCCGGGGTGTACACCTTGGTGACAGCTTACCAGTTATGGATGGAGGAAGAAGTGCCAGAGCTGGCGTTCGTCAATTTGACAAACATACCGGAGCCCAGCGGAGAGTGTGGAGGAGACATTATCACCACCCCACAGAGTACAGGTGAGGAATCAATGTTTCCCACTGTGAACTAGAACATTCCATGGAGATAACCTTCTACCTGAACCAGAGATTGCGTAATTGTCCAGTGAATGAAAGAAGCTGGAGGCAGACATTGAAATGCAACATTCTTTTCCTCATTTCAATAAACCCGGACCTAGACAGCAAAAATGTATATGAAGGTGCTGGGAGGGGTAAGAAAGAGCAACATGAGGGCTGATCCATCTACCTCTCCTGGGGAACATGAAACTTCAGGTTCCTCAATGCTGTTGCCATGGTCATGTTATCTCTTCTGAAGGATAAATCCGCTTTCAGACTTTTGAGTACAGATCTTGTGACCAAACACTCGGGCTGTTATGCCAAGAACATAAAGGGAGGTTGGAACATAATGGAAAGGTAAATATAGTCATGTAGGTACACCCCATTAAAATTGTTGTCCTCTTCAACATATTGTTCCAGGAAAACATTATCAGGGTTATTCACAGAAGGGTGAAGAGTTTGGAGAAGGCCAGAGAAGTGAACAATCTAGGGACCAAAATAGGTGATTTGGAAAACTTCTCCAATTCAGATCACATTCCATTTCAGCGATGTTGTCCTAGATTGTTCACTTCTCCAAACCCTTCACCCTCTTGTGAAAAGCCCTGTAGGTCTTCATTCAAACAGTGTCTACAGATAAAAGCTAATATACTTGAATATAAACACAAGGAAAATGTGCCTTTGTGTAAGTACACCCGTTACTCAGGATCTGGCATTGTCCTCTTCAGGAGGAAATTACATATTGTAGGCATTATTCATAACTGCCCACCGATTTTGATATTGATATAGCTGTGAAATTGACCAAACATTATCTATCTATCTATTATCTATCTATCTATCTCTATCAATGTGGAAAATACGGGGCCATGTACTGTAAAATCTTGGATGAGAACCTCCTTCCCTCAGTCAGAACACTGAAGATGGGTGGTGGACGGGTCTCTCAGCATGACAATGACCCAAAACATACCGCCAAGGCAACAAAGCAGTGGCTCCAGAAGAAGCACATTAAGGTCATGGAGTGGCCTAGCCAGTCTCCAGACCTTCATCCTATAGAACATTTATGGGAGGAGCTGAAACTTCGAGTTGCCGAGCGACAGCCAAGAAACCTGAAGGATTTAGAGAAGATCTGTAAAGGGACAAAAATCCCTCCTGAGATGTGTGCAAACCTGGCAACCAACCCCAAGAAACATCTCCCCTCTGTGCTCACCAACAAGGGTTCCCCCAGGAAACGTCTCCCCTCTGTGCTCCCCAACAAGGGTTCCCCCAAGAAACATCTCCCCTCTGTGCTCACCAACAAGGGTTCCCCCAGGAAACGTCTCCCCTCTGTGCTCCCCAACAAGGGTTCCCCCAGGAAACGTCTCCCCTCTGTGCTCCCCAACAAGGGTTCCCCCAGGAAATGTCTCACCTCTGTGCTCCCTAACAAGGGTTCCCCCAAGAAACGTCTCACCTCTGTGCTCCCCAACAAGGGTTCCCCCAGGAAACGTCTCAACTCTTTGCTCCCCCAACAAGGGTTCCCCCAGGAAATGTCTCACCTCTGTGCTCCCTAACAAGGGTTCCCTCAGGAAACGTCTCACCTCTTTGCTCCCCAACAAGGGTTCCCTCAGGAAACGTCTCACCTCTGTGCTCCCCAACAAGGGTTCCCCAATATATATTTACAAATGACAGCTGACTGCCTTATTGACCAATCAAGAGCTGTGGGAGATTGTGGCCAAGCACCAACTAGTGTGAAGTTGACACTTTTGGTTATCACCCAACATTCAGGGGCTCGAGGGGGTGCTGTAGGGATTCACCCGGACAGTCCGGATTTTGAATGCTGTGTCCGAGTTTGATGGCAGCTCATACCTGGACACATGATGTCAGGCAGACAGGGGGCAACCAAAAATAAGATAGGGGCCACTGGCCCCACACTGAAAATAGTCTTGACTGTGATATTTACATATGAATGGGTGACTCTATGTACATATGAATACGCCATGACTCATTTTCCCCAAACCATTTCCGTGCGTCGCTAGAGTGTTCAGGGTTTCGCTGGAAGAAAAAGGTGGCAACCCTAGCTGTGGGAGGTAACAAGGACTACACTGCATCCGATGAGCATAGGTTCTCTTTAAATTTAAATACTCTGGTCTATTAGCACAGTCATGACTGGTCCTCTTTAAGCTTAGAAGGCCTGTTAGGTGATGATCACCAGGAAAACTTAGAGAACATTTTCTTCAGTAAACACCTATGACTCAGCAAATCCGAACAGCATACAAAGAACTGAAGAGCTTCCTGAACAGAGCAAACAAGAAGAAGCGTGACATCACAAAAATGCAAACACGGTTCATCTATTTTTATCATCAGCCGCATCGATGTGGTGGCCGCCTGAGCCAATGACAAAAGAGTTTCCAGACACTTGTATTGTTTTCATCCACCGAATGGTGTAATGATCTCTGGCCCAGAGCCATCGATACTGGAAAGAATTGTAAAACTGCCTAGACAGGTTTTCTGACCTCCGTTCATGGAAAGCTGCACTGACATTGGAGGACAATTGTTATATCTAAGGTGATGAGTATGGAATCTGATCTGTGATCTGAAGCTGACTATACACAGAGCACTCGCATGAGATGACTCTGATCATTGTTTATCCATTATGACGGAGACCATATTACAAACACCCAATCAGAATCTGAGTTATCTCTAGACATGTGCGATTCGTTTCGTTACGAATGGAAATTCGTACGAATTTTCCTGAAATTCGTAGATTCGGAAGCATCCAAAATCTGAATTGCAGTTTCCAAATTATATCCCAAATACGAAATTCCGTTAACGAATTTCGGATCCAAATTTCTTTGAAACGGGAACTAATATTACCCCTGTAAATGAGGTTGAACAACATGACAAGATTTTTTTTTAATACGAAATACGGATCCGCTGCTGCTGATGCATTACAATACACAGGCAGGAAATACGAAATTCCGTAGACGTATTTTCGTTCCGTTACGAACATTCGTTATATTGAAGTTAAAAAGCAAAGTACATTTATATTGGAGTTGATGGTATTTTTTTTAAAATCCGAAATCCGAAATTCGGACACGGAATCCGTTAACGGAATTCGTATTTCGGATAAAAAAACAACTACCACATCGACTCTAATATTAACAAAGGTATTTTTGCTTTTTAACTTCATCATAACGAATGTTCGTACAGTTACGAAAATGTGCCGAAACTAACGAAAATCCGTATTTCGTACGAATCCGAATTGAGTTTCGGACACGAATTACGAAATCCGAAATAACGGATATTCCGAAACGAAACGGAACAAATTTTTTTACGGCGAAGTCTAGTTATCTCCAAGCTGCAGCCCCGGGGGTGACAGATCAAGCACTCAAAATGTATGAAGTGACTGCTCATCTTTCGGCACCAAGGGCAGAGCTTGATGGAAACGGTGGTGGGGAAGAGAGTCCTGGCGAGGGAACATTCTACAACTCCACACCAATGAGTGGATCCCATACTCTGCTCCTACATGGACAACTAACTATGTTTGCCCTTCACCATCTGCGAGCATTGAATACAGACATCCCAACCTGCAAAACCTTATTTCAGGGAGGTTCCCGTCTCATTTCAGGGAGGTGCCCTTTCTGGGTTTTTTTTACAGCGGAACATTGTAATGCCAACAGATAGCAGCACTGATATGTGACCAGCACTGACATGTTATATGGGCTCTCTTCTATCACTTCAGTTGGCACCAGGTCATCCCTTTTAGATTGTAAGCTCTCAGGGGCGGGGCCCTCCTTACCGTCTTGTCTTGTCTTGATGTCTATTGTGATTGTAATGTCTTCCTTATATTGTAAAGCGCTGCGCACACTATTGGCGCTCTATAAATCCCGTATAATAATAATAATTACAGTGAATGGCTGTTCTGCTACTTTCTCTGAAATGGAACCCCGTACTGGGCGCTCATCAGTGTGTCCACACACTGATTTTATATCATTCTGATGGGGTTGACGTACAGAATATAATGTAGTTCATACTTATACATTTGGGGGAGAATACACATGAAATCACTGAATGCAACCCGAGCAGTTATACAAAAATTGCTTCTATTTATCGCCTTATTGACCTTTTAGTTTACTCTTATTAGCCTAAATTAACTCCTTCTTTCTACTTTTATTTTTCTGGTGTTTTTCCCTA